CTAAGTGTTGACAGGTCACTCATCAGGAGAGAAGGAAGTGCATTTGGACAGGTGGGCTGATAGATATCGTAGAGAGACAGACATTGCCTTTTCTCAAAAGCCTTTAGCTTAAAACATTCAGTATGCAGAGGAACTATAACATGGTACTATGTTCTGAAAACCGTCAGATGGTTGTTAAACACAGCTATAACTAAATATTGTTATACAAATTTACAATGAAGTAAACTATATTAAAAAGGAAGTATTCAAAACACATCTCTTTCTTTTACATGATGACATTTACCATTATCTATGTTCTTGTAATCATTTGTTTATTGTATGTGGATGATAGAAATACCACACAACAGGTGTATTTTTGCCTTTTTTGGGTCCTTAATTCTACATTTAGTGGCAATTGCATTGATAGTTTGAAATTGCTACTGTTATAGGACAGGGAGAGGGGCAGCCCAAACCCCGTAAACCTGCCTATTCTAAATAGGTTCTGCCATCCGCCGCATCAACACAAAACATATGAGACTTTAATGGGAAGGAACTTCAATAAAACTAGGAAACAATACAGGAAAGGCAAAGAGTCTAGTTTCTAAATGAAGCACCCACTTTCCTGGGGACCACCCTGTTACAGTACTTTGAAAGGTGAGAGTGTTTCCATCACAGACATCACAATCATAAAACAGGGCCTTGTTTTTAAAGGAAAGATGTTAAAACCATTTGCCAGACTGTTGCTGCGTGTTCAAGTGGAGAGACTGGCCTCAAACTAAGTGTTGACAAGTTACTCATGAGAACAGGAGAGAAGGAAGTGCATTTGGACAGGTAGGCTGATAGATATCAGAGAGAGACAGACATTGCCTTTTTACCAAGCGAAAAAAGAAGCTAAGTAATCACTCAGAACTAAGGCTGGGCAGGGAGGTATTGGACATTTGAGGTGAGAAGGATGAGGCAAAGTAAGTAGATCAGAGAAATATGTTTTTGTCTCACACCATCTATGGGCCCATTGAGGTGAATGGTTATGAATTTTAAAAAGGGACTTGTTACTATATATATATATATATATATATATATATTTTTTTTTTTTTTTTTTTTTTTTTCTCCCTCCAGTTTCCCCCTCAGCAGCTTGGGTGAGGTGGTTGTTAAGTGGTGAGTCAGATTTATCCAAATGCAGGGTTTTGCCAGAACAGTATGACTAGGTAGGTATATGTGGGGCAAGTGAGATTATAAAATTATAGATGTATAAATTACCATGCCCGAGTCCACCCTTATTCATCCTAGCTAACATCATGCCCTACCTCCTGCAACTTCAACCCATTATCCTGCGTATCTTCTTCCATTGTTTATTGGCTGTTGCATCACCTAACTCACCTGTCCTACAGGACAGCAGACACCCAGCTTAATTCCCTCCTGAACCCAGTGTCTGCCACTTTGCTCAACGCCCCGCAAGCGCTCAGTAATTAATGTGTCGAATAACAAGGAAACAATGCACCCCCTCGTTTGCTCTCTTCACATCTGTACGGTCCACAAATGAAACTCCTTTTCTTTTTGTACCTGATGGCCCTTCTCCTCTGGGGTTTAACCTTTCAGGAGCCGACGCCCGCAGCCACGTTCTTTCTTCTCGCACAAACCAGGGGGACTCGCTCCACTTTCCTTGGGACCCAAGTTCCCGCCTCCGGGGCCGCCGGGCGGCTCGAGCCCACAGCGCCTCTGCCGGCCTCCGGGAGGAGGTGACCCTCGCAACCCCAAAACTCAGAGGACGGGCAAAGTGCACGACTCTATTCTCACTTTTCTTTTTAGGGCGCCAAACAGTGCCCTTGGGCTGGGCTTACCCCGTGGCCCCAGACGCGGGCACGCCAGCAGCCCAAGTCCCAAAGCCCAGGGTTCCGGGGCGCGCCGCGGCGGGGCGGGGCCGAGAAGCCGCCGGGCCTGCAGGCGTGTCCGGGGCGGGGCGGGACCGCGGGCGGAGACCACCTTCGGGCCCGGCCGCTGTGCGCGCGCCCCCGCCGCGCTCGGGTCCCAGGGCGCGCCCCCGCCGCGTGGCTTCCCTGACAGGGGGGCGGGGCCGGGGGCGGGGCCGGGGGCGGGGCCGGGGGCGGGGCCGGGGCCGGGGGCGGGGACGGGGCTGCCTGTTTCTCCGAGTGGACAATAAAGTTTCGAAAGTTTGAAAAGGCAGGAAAAAAAAAAAAGCCCACGCCCCTGGGGCGGCCCGGGTGTGGCAGCCGGCGGCCCGCGCTGGCCGAGGCGTGGTCGGCGCCGGGGCCGCGCGCGGGGATGGGGGTCACGGTGGAGGTGCGCCAGGTGTACAAGTACCCCTTCGAGCAGGTGGTCGCCAGCTTCCTCCGGAAGGTACCCGCCCCGCCCCGCCCCGCCCCGCCCCGCTCCAGCCCGCCCGCGGCTCGCGCGCTCTGCGCCCCCTCGGCGCCCCCGCCGTCTGCGCGCCCCTCTGCGCGCCTGCGTCCCCCGCAGGCCCACGCGGAAGTGCGGCCCGTGGCCCCGCTGCCCGCCGCGGGGAGGCGCGGGCGGGGGGCACGTGGATTTCCTCGAAGGTTCGCTGTCGAGGAGGCGCGAGAGGCTCCGTGCGCGGCGGCACGTTCGCATCCCGCCACGGCTGCAGGGAGAGGCCGGGCCGGGGGTCGCGGGGAGACCCTCAGAGAACCCAGGCCGGGGTTGTGGATGACTTGTCGACCTTTGGAGTCCTGCTTGAACCCCTTAAAAGCTAGTGGGGGCCGCGGAAGCCGTCGCGCTGGGACCTGAGCACGGAGGCGCCTCACCGCCACTTTCCCTGCGGTGAAGCAGCTGGGGGGCGTCGGGCGGGCGGCCTGCGCGCTCGGAGCCGGAGTTCCGTCGTTGTAAAAGGAGGGGAAATAATAGAACCCACTCAGGCTGTGAGGACGGCAGGGAGGGGTAGTTCATGAAAGAATTCATGTGCTTGTCACAGGGTTTAAAGTTCCTCGTGCTGTTGTTGTTTGTACGCCAAATCAGTGTCAGTGACCCTCTATCTCAAGGGCTTCTGGCACTATCGCTCGGGGTGTAAGGAGGGCAGGAAATGTTTTTGAAAAATGGAAAGCACCCAGGAGTGGGAGGTGGGACCCCAGGGACTCTAGTCTGACTCTGCCCTCAGTTATTTCACTGGGGCATCCAGTGTCCAGGCATTCCGTTTCTTCATCTGTGTGGTGACAGGGTTAGGGTTAGCCTTGCGTTCCCCTTCAGCTTTCACATTCTTAAGCAAGATTTACCAGAGTTGTCATTTGCCTTGGGCAGCAGCTCCTGGGGTTCCACAGGCAATCTGGAAGCCAAGCTAAGGGAGATGCTGGGTCAGAAGGTAATTTTTTTGGGTGATTAAGACCTGACTGCCATTAGGTGAAGTGATGCTTTTGGGGGCGCAGGTCACAAAGGAAGCGGGAGGATGTTGGTTAACTTGTTATGAAGGCCTGTGTGTGTGTGCGCGAAATGTCAGCTTGTTGATATTTTGTGGTTGATTTCCAGTATTTGGAATAATGCCTAGCACCTACTAGCTGCTCAGTAAAATTCTGATGAATGATGAGTGAAAGGCTAAATTATGAAACTGGTGGCTAGGATTTTGAAGAAGTGTTATTTGTGAAATAAGGGCTGAAGTGGAGGGATTTCTCAGGCCAGAGGGAGTGGGGAGGAAGTGCTGTCTTGTCCATGACTGTTTACTCTCCCCAGCAGCCTCAGGGAAGAGTTAAGATTGACTTCCGTTTCCTGGTCTGAAGAAACTGAGGTTCAGAGAAGTTTAAGCAGTTTTCCTAAGTTCCCACATTGTGTAGGTAGGAGAGCCGGAATTTCAACATTTCTGAATCCAAAGTCCATACCCTTACTACATTGCCTACAACAGACTCTCAGATGATTATTGAGCAAATGGAATGTTTCAGAAACAGCTTTGCTTTTCTCTTTACACAATCCCAATTTCATTTTGTCCTCTTAGACAACCCTTTGTGTCTCATATATATATATATATGGTAGGCTGAGAAAATAATGTTAGAATTATGCTTTACTATATAACAAATTGCCCGTGTGTTTAAGTGCCATAAACTAATAATAAACTTTTAATTCTTGGGATTCTGTGGGTTGACTGGACTCAGCGGGGTGGTTTTTGTGTGCCATATGTTTTAGCTAGGGCCACTTATGTAACTGTAGTCAGTTAGGATCTGGAATAATTCCTATAAATACTTAGTAAAGTGCCTGCCACTAAAGAGGACCTCTTGGAAGGCAGGGCCAGGGGAGGGGAAAAGAACTTTTGCAGACTAAAGATCAAGTGATGGGACAGTGTTAACAACCATGGACAACACTACACTACCATTCTAATACAAAGCAGTCCTTCAGAAACCCCAGGGAGGGCCATGAGACTATTTCTAAGTTGTCAGTAAATCTGTCTGCTGTGAGAATTTTCACCTTGTATTCCTTAAAGCCGTGAACTGGAAGTCAGTAGACGTGAAGTCCAATGATTGTGCTTTCATTGCTATGTTGGGTGTCCTTGTGACACAGTTTTCACTAGTTTATACTCTGCTCTTGCCCAGATTAGAAAGGGGCATCATCTAGGTCATCCTGTTTACTCACAGTAAACAGAACTAGTGGAAAGTGAAAAGGACCAGATATGTAGATTAGAAGAAGACCCCTTCTAGGTGGATGTAGTCTGGTTTCCACTGGCCTGCCTGACTGGATTTCCTTGTGCAGTGAGCAGCATGCACAACTGTATAAAACAGCCCTGTGATCTTAATTTCTCATCTGTAAAATGGCAATGCCTATTACCCAGCCTTCCTCCCAAGATTGTTGCAATGATTTGACAAGCATGCTTGTCAAAAAGTCTAATATATTGTAATATATTGTATTCAGAAGTCTAATATATTGTAAGAATTATCTTTTTGGCAAAATAAGCTTTTGTTTTCTTATAGTCTTTATGGGATTTTTTTCAAAGGAAAGTGCTTGGCAGATGGGAAAATCCTATGAGGATCTCTGGAAACATTAAATGTGATTTTACACAATGGTATGTTTGAAGCTGCTTCAGCACTGAGGAAGTTCTATTTTAAATAGTCTACTGATCTATGGCTTTTGGTATTTTAGGACTTGCCTTCCAAGTTATAATATACTGCTATTTTTAAAACCTGAGGAATGTTTGCTCTTCTTACACCTGCCTGTTGGATACCACAGGCAAAATGTTAGCTACATGCATTCAAAGCTCAATGGCACCTTGAAAAACAAACAACACAATACTCTTTGTTCCTGGAATACAGTGTTTCTCATTGAACTCTTCGTGTAGGAATGCCATGAAACCCAAAATGGTTTATTCATGGGATGCTAAACTGTATTTTCCATAAAATGTAGTGTCAATGCACTTGACAATGTATTTTGGTTTCTTTCTTTGTATGACTCTTAGCTTACCACTTCTCATCAGCCCCTCAGAAAGGAGCCCTTTTATTTAAAATCATCTGCATAGATGACAAAAGTTGCAAACATGCCTCTGGAGGTTCATGTGGGCCTGTTTAATGGGCTTTCCTTCGCAAACTGGGTTCAAATAGAACTTCATTAATTTCATTTATCTGACATTTAAAGTCACTAAAAAGGACCCAGATGACCATTGCGTTGACTGGATTTTCTTATTTGTTTTCAAGGCCAGAGAAGTTATAGTTTATCTTACCATTGAGTTGTTCAGGTGGCTTTACTTTTTTATGCATCATGTGGAGAGTGTACGCTTGATGGGCTTTCCCCCTGATGTTTCCCATGTACCCAGAGAGATCTTGGAACATAGCAGGTACTCAGCAAATCCTTGGTGAATAAATGGTCGAAGTACACTCCTCTGGGATACAGCCCTATGTAATTCTAGACTGAAGTCATAGTGGGGTTCTGGAATATGTCCTTATGGTGGGTAATGTCTGAACATGGACCAATTAAAATAATTTCTTTGCTTCAGTACTGTGCCCTCTGGTTTTATTTATTCAAACTGGGAGTCTGATGTGCTGAACAAAAATGGCTTGAGCGTTTACTCTTAAACTCATAAAGGGAATTTATGAAGGGCTATTTCCATTTAGAGTAGAAAGTTGATTGGGTAATTAATAATGCTTCCATTTCTGATCCTATCTTTTCCCCTGCACATTTGGCATTTACATGTGTGGTACAATTTTGCCGTCAGAGCTCTTGAAATATTTGAGGTGAACATGTGTTTCCAAAATAAATGATTTGACAATTGATAGGCTTAGTTTAACACAATGGTTATTTATCTTTTTGTTTATATTGTAATAGTATTTTTCTCACTTTTATCTTCCTATCATCAATTCTTCTAGAAGATTAGGCATGAAGGAGAATATGAAGAGCATGGGCTCTGGCATCAGGGGAGAGGACTGCTTTGAGCTGTTTGAGTTGGGGCACATCAATTTAATTTTCTGTGTTTTAGTTTGTTACCTCATTTGCAAAACAACAAGTATCTTCTGGAGTTGTTGAGGGAAATTAAATTGGATAATACACATGTTTATACATAATGTGCATAGGTTAGTGTTGGTCCAAAGTAGGTGCTTTTAAAGTACCTAGCAATACTAATGATAAGAATTTACTGCATTTATTCTATGAACCTGAAAATAAGAAGCTGAGAGTATTCCGCAGAATATATTAAAACTTGCAGTAATGAAGAAGAGAAGGAGCATGGAAAGGTCATTAGAATTATGACTTACTTTTAAAAATGCCACTTAAATACTTTTAAATTGAAGGTTGTGGCTTAATCAGTGCATAAAAGGAGATTTTTTTTAACTATCAAAGCACTTATAGTTGAATGTTTTTTGTATGTCAACTAATAGACATTCATAAGTCTGTGTATCATTTTCCCTGGTAGATGAGCATGAGACCTCCTCCTGGCCTCAAGGAGTTCACTGTAAATCTCAGGGGCGTGTCACAGACATATTGTATAGGACAAGGTTCATGTTTTAATTGTAAATATGAGAGCTTTTAGATTATTTAGAAACAATTGGTTGTCTTTTTAAAACCAGTTAAGTATTCTCTATAGTACTCTGCTCTGATTGAGCGCTTTCCCTATGCTAAGGCGGAGGGGTGCATCAGGGTGTCCTTGTGGAAACTTCTGCAGATTTTAAGTTGGTAAACCCTGAGCTTGTAAAGTTTGACTAGTCTATGAAAATAAGAAATATCCTCTAATAATATTGAAATTACCATTTAAATATTTTTGGGTTGCAGGTGGATAGTTTACTTCATGCTACACCACAGTAAATTGCAAGAAAAAGACTGAAGTCATGGAACTAAATTTTCAAAAATGCTAATTCATTCTTTAGTAGCAAAGCCAGCTACCTTTCATTGATTGAGTAGACTACTTACCAGCGCCAGGTGTTATGCATTACATACAGTTGTTTCCTTTAATTCTTGTGAGAACCATTGAAGGAAGGTATTTCATTCTCATTTTACAAAATGAAGAAACGAAAGCAGATTGAGTTAAAGTGATTTGCCTAGAACTCTGATGGATGGGTTTCAAACTGAAATCTCTTGGATTCTAAGACTCCCTTTGTTTTTCAACACTCTGTATTTATTTTACTTTTTATTAGCTTTTCATTTAGAAATAAGTTGGCTTACAAAATGTTGCAAAAACTAAGAATTTCCATACAATCCTTTCCCACTTCCCCAAGTTACAATATAAGACTCAGGAGAGTAATATCAAAACCATATTAACCAATCTACAGACAGATTATTCAGATTTTGACAAATGTCTACTGATAACCATTTTTCCAGTTTAAGGGCCAATCCAGGAACCCCACCTTGTATTTGGTTGTCATGTCTTCAGACAAAGGGAGTCTTAGAATCCAAGAGACTTCAGTTTGAAACCCATCCATCAGAGTTCTAGGCAAATCACTGTAACTCAATCTGCTTTTATTTCTTCATTTTGTAAAATGCGAAAGAAATACCTACCTTAAATGGTACTTACAAGAATTAAAGGAAATAACTGTATGTAAAGCATAACACCTGGCACTGGTAGGTATTCTACTCAACAGTTCTGCTGTCTTTTTTTGTCTTTCTGGACAGCAGTGCTTTTGAAAAGTACTGAAAATTAGTTTTGGACTTCATATCTTTATTTATTTATTAAAAAAGATTTATTTATTTATTTATACAAGCACTGTGTACAGTCAGAAGTGCGGGAGGGTGAGAGAATTCACCAGAGCCAGAGCAGGAAGCAGAGCAGACAGACTGTCGAAATACACTGCTGAGGGGAGCAGCGGGCGGCAGGAGAGGTCTGCGCACCATGTGGGACCCTCGCCCAGCGGCTGAGGATGGAACCAGTGCTGCAGAGGCTGCGGGCAACTTCGCAACCCAGTGCTCAACCACTGCGCCACCGGGAGGCCCAGCTTCATATCTTTAAATGCATTGGATTTATGCATGCATTTAATACTGAGATAAGAAGATTTTCCTTTAGGTCAGAATTATAAAATATTCCCTTCAAATTTTTTTTATTATACTATTGCCAATTTTTTTAAAAAAGATTTATTTATACAAGCACTGGGTACAGTCAGAAGTGCAGGAGGGTGAGAGAATTCACCAGAGCCAGAGCGGGGAGCAGAGCAGGCAGACTGACGAAATACACTGCTGAGGGGAGCAGTGGGCGTGGCAGGAGAGGTCTGTGCACCATGTGGGACCCTCGCCAGTGGCTGGGGATCGAACCGGCACTGCAGAGGCTGCGGGCAGCTTAGCAGTCACGCGCTCAACCTCGGAGGCCCACCAGCGGAGGCCCACCATTGCCAATTTTTTAGGACATACTTGAAAGAGAGTAACGCGATGTGGGCTGGCCTTTGTTTTGCCTCCTTCCTCATTCAGGCCAGAAGGGCCCTTGAGGATCATCTGGTGGTCTGCTGTCCTCTCTCTACAGCTGGCAGCCTCTCCGTCTGTGTCCCTGCTCCTTGTCCTTGTTCTTTCTGTTTTATCATTCTTCTGATCTCAAAGGGCAGTGGGCAGCCATTCAGAATACCTATCAACATACATATGTTTAGTTCTTGATCATTAAAATTTTGATTAATTGATTACTCCTTTGATCTGGATATGAAATCAACTCTAGTTTTCTACTGAGATAGACTATTGTATGTGGCCCATAAAGGGCATTTTGGCACAGCTCATGAGGCATTCTTTGTGTAACTAAACACTAAGTCTCTTTGCAGCTGCTCCACCTCTTTGTGTTACATGTTTGTGAGCAGTATGAGTAGCAAAGATTCCTTTAATGCTTATAAAACAGTGATGTTAATATTCCAGATTTCTTTTGGGTCCTCTTGGCCTTCTTTTCAGGACCAGACAGATCTGTCAGCTTCCTTGCCTTCTCTTGGAGAATGTCATTTAAAAGGTGGTGAACAGTGAGTGACTCCTTTGGAGGTCACAGACCCTTATTTTTACTGTGTATGGGAGGGTATTATAAAAGGCACGCGTTGACTGCTGAGCTTTTTGGAAGGTTGATATTTTAATAATTCCTTACTTTCTTGAGAGTAGGCCTTCTTAAATCTTCTATGGCTTTAACTATGTAAATAAGAAAGGTAAATGCCATATTTTCATGAAGCTCTTCCCATTAATATATTGACTTTTCTTGTAATCAGCTGAACTCAATTTCGTGGCCTCTCACTTTCCATAGCTAAGTGTTTATTTAATGTGTATTTTGTTTTATACCCAGTATTTTGTAATTTTTGGCTTCTTACCTTTTAATATATAAAAAGTAAGTGAAAGTCAGATAAATGACAACATAGGAGAGCCTCCTTGTCCTTATTAGATTTTTATATCCATATAATATTTCTAGTTATATTTGCAATTGACCTATATCTTGGAGAAAGAAGTTAGTTTATACATTTTATGAAGATAGTAAAAAATCATAAGTTCAAAATAAAGTAAAATATATCTTGAAAAATCCCTTATCACTTCTAGCGTATGGCATGCATGGCCAATGTTGAATGTCCTGTTGGTAGTGCTTATGCCACTGAGCCCGGTCCGTGGAAGGCACAGGTTTGGGCCAGGTATTTGGGTCATTGGGCCACTTTGCTTCTGTGTGTACAATGGGACTGAAGAACCCCTGTGTGAGCCTGCTTGTTTGCAGTCTGTACACAATTGTTTTTAACACAAAGCATCTTTATCTTAATACTTGTTAATAGGCTTATTCACTTGGTGGAGGACTCAACAAGGTCATACCTATGGAAGCCTCTCAGATAGCACCCTGCATGGGCACAGTGAATGATAATTCAGTCCTTAGTGGCCTGATCTTGACCTAACTTTATCTGTTTCATTGTCACACTGTGTTTGAGAAGGTGCCCAGAAAAACCTGACACCCTGCTTCTGTCTTCCCAAGTTGGTGTTCCCAGTGGGGGCCCTCTCTGCACAGTCTCCCTCCCTCACCCCCTTTTTATCAGACATCAGGTAAATTTACTTGAATTAAATCATGACTACCACAAGCTACCACAAGATGGCGTCAGATCATTTTAAATAATGCCAGATAGGGGGAGCCTCAGTACAATACATTTTTTTAAGTTTAAAAAAAAGTTAAAATATGTGCCTTTGGAGTGATGACATTTAACTACTTTAAATAACCTCCAATTTCTTTTCCCATTTTTTTATTGACAGTTGAGGCACATCTATGTTTGATCCCCAAAGTAGTTGGGTAGGAAGAGTCTTGAATCTTACAAGTGATTTTACTGGAGCTCTTGTATCTGGCTAATAAAACTTCCCTTTTTAATTTGTTTTTTATAAGCATTGTCTAATGGTGATCCTTAATTATTTTTACAATGGCTATTATTTCCTATCCCCCGATTATCTCTTAGTCTAATTTATTTTTACCTTACATTTATTTATTACTTCATTATTTTGTTTCCCCAACAAACATGTAGAATCTCAAGAGTCTACAGTTTTGTTTGTTTCATTATATATCCTTAGTGTCTGGGACAGTTACAGGCTTGGTAAGTAATAAAAAAAAGTTAACTGAAGAATGCATAGAAATTCAGTTTTATTTAAACCAGTGCTCTTCAATTCCAAAAGCAAATATTAAAGTTTTATAAAAGTATGAAGTATTTGAGTTTAGAGTCTTTAAGAATTTCATTGCTAATTTAGTGAAGAAGTCATCAGAACTTGAAAACTTTCATCACTCCACTTCCCTTGTGATTACAGTTCAACCTCCTTCATAATTTAGTTTGGTAATCTTCCTATTATTTACAAAGTATATTCAGTTAGGATGTGTTTATGAATATAAAATGAGCAAACCGAACTCCTTTTACTATAGTGTGAAGTTTGAATTCACACACACAAACACACACACACACACAGAGTAAACCTGTGAGAGTCTCAGTTCCCTTGTGTCAAGCATGCTGTGTAAGCGAGGCATCTTGCTGAGGAATGGAATAGCTAAACCTGACCCTCCACTAAGGCTAAATTTCATGAAGGAGCAAAAATGAATGAAATAAATGCATTTATAAAGCCATGTTTTGTTTTTGATTAGTTATCAAGGTTGTGGTTGCCAGGATGGAAAGGTGAATGACAGTTTGCAGATGGGATATGCTGAAGTGTTCAGGCCGCTGAGGACTGATCTCACTGCCCTTTTCACTGATAGGTCCCTCAGCAAAGAAGGATTTACTTTCCAAACTGATCCCTGAGGTCATGGAGGTTTATCTTCCAAATCAATAATTCACTCAGCAGCAAGTATTTATTGAGTACTGCTACGTCAGACACTGCTAGGAATAGAGATAAAGGAGTGACTGAAAAAGGTAGTATTTCTGCCCGCATAGAGCCTATGTTCTAATCTTGTGTCTTTAGGGCTGGAGATATCTTTAAGAATGTGTGAAAGCGGGCCTCCCCTGGTGGAGCAGGTGGTTGAGCACAGTGCTGCGGAGCTGTCTGCAGCCTCTGCAGCGCCGGTTCAACCCTGGCCGGCGAGGGTCCCACATGGCGTGGCAGACCTCTCCTGCCACGTCCGCTGCTCCCCTCAGCAGTGTATTCTGGTCAGTCTGCCTGTTCTGTTCCCCAGTCTGTCTCTGGTGAATCCTCTCACCCCCCCGCGAATCTGGCCTGTACCCCGGTTCTTGTATAAATAAATAAATCTTTAAAAAAAGAATGTGTGAAAGTGATGGACCGTTCCTGGGAAAGTCAACTAATCCATCAACCTGTTACACACACACACACACACACACACATTCTCTCTCTTTCTCTCACAGCTGCTGTGTGTGTGTGTGTGTGTGTGTGTGTGTGTGTGTGTGAGAGAGAGAGAGAGACAGAGAGAGAGAGACAGAGAGAGAGAGAGAGATCCATACTCACTGACTTTTGTATACCATTTCATGGGGTTCACGAGACTTAGAGTTCAAATAAAGGGTACATCTTCTGTCTCTTAGCCTGTCCACTGCTCTCTCTTCCCTTTCGGCAGCTTATGATGTCCTGGATGAAGCTTCCTTCTAATTTTCTTTTCAGATTTGATCACAGCAGGGAGCTGTAAACCTCTGGGAAAAGTGTCCAAATGAGGCTCAGCATGCCTGAGTCAGCAGCCATCTTTTCCTGTGGCTCTGTGGAGGGCACTTCTGCTTCCCAGATCTCTTTGTAGCTGAGTGATGGAAGGATTGGGCTTGATGAACTCAGGTGATTGAGGGTAGGTTAGGTGGGCTGGCTTTATAGAGAACAGAAATCATCTGGAGGTAAAGCACAGTCTCATCTCTCATTAGCTGGGTGCGTTTGAGCAAATTATTTATTTTATACGAGCTGTTTTTCTTATATGTGAAAGAGAAAAACCAGTATATACCTTATGGGAGAGATTTGAGAATTAAAATGAAATAATGTATGTAAACTGCCCGGGAGAGGAATGGTAGCTATTATCAGCCTTGTTACATCCAAATTGTTTATTGGAGGGAATTTAATCAATAAATAACTTATTTATTGATCATCTGGCATAACCTGCTTCTGTGATTATTCTCCTGTGATGCTAACACAGTGTAGGGTAGGTAAAAGGTTTCAGGCTTTTCTGCCCTACCGCCATTAGGATAGATGAGGGAACCCTGTGGTCCTGAATGCATGCCTGATGGTGGGCACCTGAAGTGGGTACACCTGGGCTGAGAGACTGAGTTTATAAGGGCGGCGTCACAGGGATGCCAGCAGAAGCCAAGAATGAACGGAAACTGAGAGAATGCCAGAGAGCCCAGATAGAGTGAAGATTTGCTGGGGCCTGGGAGGACTGCCAGCCTCCCGGCCCCCCAGCCCCTCTGCCTGCCACGTACCTGCTAAATCCCATTAAAAGAGCTGCTAAAACCACTGAGGACTCTGACTCCTCCTTTACCTGGGCTGCTGGATCCTAGAAAACCTGCACTGTGTCCAGTCCTGCCCTTATACACAGTCACCAGGCGGTGATTTAAGACAACACTCTATGTTAGGTCTCATTTAACTTCCTGGCCCCACCACTAACTAACTGGGTGACCCTCACCTCTTGTCTACTCTGCATTCAGTTTCTAGTTCTGAAAGATGGGGTTATGATATCACATGATACAGTCCCAGAGAGAGACTGTTAGGGGATTTCAACAGACTGCGCAAGTAAAGAATTTTGCTCAGTGTCTGCATAATGGTTACTTCTGGTTTATGATAAGCTGGTTCAATATTAATACTATTATTATTTATTATTTAGGTAAACATAACCTTGCCCTCTCCAACCAGGGATAGGTTGGATCTAAGGGCACTTTCCCCAGGGTTTCAGGCAGGTTCATCTCATGATACCATCTCACTTATATAGGCCCAAGTAGTAAAATTAAGACCCTTGTCTGAAAAGTGGCCTTACAGGTTACTTGAGAAATAATTACTATTCCTGCAAATAGCTGTGGTTACCATGAAATAATCCACTTAGTAAAAGATGAATGGTAATGCTTCTTTATGTGTTTTCATTTAGTATCCCAACCCAATGGATAAAAATGTCATCGCTGTAAAAATCGTGGAGGAAAAAAGAGGTGAGTTCCTGAAAATACCTTACTTCACTAATGAGCATTAAGTAACACTGATTCTTTTAAAGGTGTGTGCGTGTGTGTGCATGCACATGGTGTGTGTCCTTTTATGTTTTTAACAGATATATTTATGCATTTGATCAAAACGAGTGCCCAGTATTATAGCTGCATGAGTCTTGCCCAAGATGATCTTGCCACTTTCTTAATTAACAGTTGATGACAATTGTAACAGCTAACATTTTTGAGCTCTTAATATGTGCCAGACACTCTTACTTTTATTAACTCAATCTTCAGAACAATGTATGGGTTAGGTATTATTGTTACTCTTATTAAATGGATGAAGAAACCAAAGTACACAGAACTTAATAACTTGCTCAAGGTTACATTCTGTATCCTTATCATATAGTTACATATTATTTTATTGGTAGCAAAATAGATGTGATTAATAGCATGTCCATATATGAGATATGACCATATAGTGATTAGATTGTGAAATATAACTGTACTTAGCAGTGTAATTTGTGTCAATTGGAGTAGGTTGACAAGCTATGCTTTTGCTGCCCGTGGTTGTGAATACTAAACTTTATTGGCACATAGTCACACCTATTTCTTTACATATAGTCCTGTGTTGCTTAACAAAGAGGATATGCTCTAAGAAACGCAGCCTTAGGCGAGTTCGTGGATATGCAGATGTCACGCAGTGTCTGTAACTCTCCAACAGCACTCTCTTTGTTGCTGGCGTAGAGATTCAGGGGGCATCCAGGACATCTTGTAGCACCCTAAGGATGTGTGCTGATGTCACTAGGCAACAAGGATTTTGAGACCACGGTCATATATGCAGTCCATTGACCTAAATATTATGTGGCCAATGGCTGTATAGCCTGTGACTGTCTCCATGCAATAGTAGCAGAGTTGAGTTGCTGCAACAGGGACTGTCTGACTCACAAAACCTAAAATATTTACCATTTGGTCCTTTGCCAAACCCTGGTGTAGGTGTCTCTGTCCTCCTTTGTCATTCTCATCTCCAGTGGAAGCATTTACACTGTCAGTATCTGAACTTGGGAACCAGGCAATGCAGGAAGCTATAATGATGCTTATAGGCAATGCATGACCTTTTGGAGACACCCAGACCCATGTCTGACTTGCTCTTGAGCCTTTTGAGAAAATGAGTGAAATACACTCTTTATTATGTGACTTTGAGACCTTCTCTGTTCTTTTGCCTGTGAGGGCATAATTTGTACTTCTATACTGTGTAAGTGTACTTAAAAATAAATATTTTTTGTACCCTAGTAGTGTGGAAGACACTTGTTATTTGACATCAGACAGGTCTGATTTCATTAACTACCAGTGTATCCAAAATTTTGAGTGACTTAGTTTCTTCATCTGCTAAACAGAAAAATAACAATCCTGATTTTAGGCTGTTGTGAAGATCAAGTGAGAAACAATGTGCAAATTCCTAGTGGCACAGAACGTTAATTATAGTCTCCAAGAGTTCAATTTTAGTTTCTGTGCTGCAAAGTTGGGATGAGCTGGCCAAAGGAGTGCCAAGGGACAGGCGAGGAGCTGGTTTCTCATTCGGTCTATAGTGTCTGGACCGTCAGGGTGTTTGACCAAGGTTCAGGGCTACCATGGCCAGAACTGAGAAACCCGGTATGAGTGTGGCTGAAGCACAGTAATGCACAGAGCAAAAGACAGCACATCAAAATATATCTTTTTCTTCACCTTGGTCTCCTGTTTTGTTAACTCAAATCTTGTGTGCATTTTGTACATCCCTGGTACTATTCTGGAAAGTTTGTTCCAAAACAGAATGATTCCAGTTACAGGGACCCTGCTCTCTGCTGAAAGAAGAGTGTGACAAATACAATTAATTATGGGTTTAAATTTAATAGTCAGAAATCTTTGCATGAAAACATGTTTGATGCAAAGAGCAAAAATGTAACTCCTCAAAGTTCAAATAAAACTTAAAAACAACAAACATGTTTGGTGCAGAATGTGGCAGATCTCCCTTTCTGTTGAAGCTTTGTTTCTGTTGGTATTGAGTAGTAGGAAGCTACTGGCCATTGTCATTGGAGTTGACATTGATGGTCAGGGCATGAGCAATTTGCAGTTTTTATTTTGACTTTAGAATGTGCAGTGTGAGTGGCTGTTTTACCCTCATCCCTTGATCACAGATAAGTGTAGTTGCCGTGATTTGGCCGAGAAAAATGTCAAGGAATTGAGTTTTCAGTTAAACATTTTCTCTAGTAATTCTACATAGAAAATTGAGATTGAGGGGCCTCCCTGGTGGCTCAGGGGTTAAACTCTCACCACTATCAAGCTATAGCCAACCACTGCAACAAGTGTTCGATCCCCGGCCAGGGAGCTACCCTCATGGCGGAGACAGACCTCTCCTGTCTCGCCCACTGTTCCCCTCAGCAGTGTATTTCAGTGTATTCTGTGCTCCAGTCTGTCTCTGGTAAATCCTCTCATTCCACGCACCTCTGACCTCTACCCCACTCTTGTATGCATAAATAGATAAATCTTTTTTAAAAAAAAGAAAATTGAGATTGGTATTAAAAGTTTTATTGACATCAATACTAAAATACATTTCCTTAAAGTTTTTTGAGTGTAAAATTTTTATCTTTCTAGATGTGTCAACAGGGATCATCTATAGAAAGAGGATTGCAATCTGTCAGAATGTGGTTCCAGAAATTTTAAGGAAGGTAAGTTCATTTCAAAATTTAATCAGCTTTGCTATAACATTGGCTACTTTTCAGATGGGCTTGGAAAGAGGCTGCATTTTCTGATGTAAAGGGCTATTAGGACTTTTCCAAGTCTTCTGCCTCCAGCCCTTCAGAGGAAGGAAGTGTCTCATAACGAACCTCAGTTCTGGCAATGCCGCAGTAGGTAGGTTTTTTCCTATCTGTTTCTGTCTTTCTCCTGTTCAGGGCTCTTAGTGGTCATCGAGGTCTACATTTTTTTTAAAAGATACCCTGGACATTTTGCATGAAGTGACCGCCTTTCCTTCTCTGTCCATTGTTGGATATGACTCAGGTGAGAATGATCACAAGTGGGCAGGTTGTAAATAGTTGCTCTTTAGTAAGGAAGAGCAAGGCTTCAGTTTCTCTTTCACTGTCAGAATAGTTATTTCAGGGAACGTAATGCTCTCAATGTGCTGGGTCAGCTTTATTGTGAATATATCTATAAAGTTATGGCATTGATGTTGAAATCTTCATGATAGCAAATTGTTTTCTCTCTTTGAAATCTTTAAGCACTCTGGTGATTGTTGGAAAAAGGTAAGTGAAAATTTTAATCTGGTTGCTTGAATGATGGAGGGATTGTTGGGAGTCCATCCTTTCAGAATTACTAGGAAGGGGTGATCATATACACACGCTACGTACTTTTTAAAAAAGTCTCATGTGGTTTCAAACCGGAAGTGATTCTGTGTGATGCAGAGCCTAGCTGGGCTCCTGCTGATTAGCTTGCAAATTACATTGCTGTGCTGTCTGTAGAAAAAATGACAGTTTCTGTCACTTCCTTATCATGTATTAAAGCTCTGTCACATTCTTCAGCGAAAAGAAAGCTGATATGACAATGAAAATGAACTTTTGAAAAAGATGGCAAGATATGTTGCGGGGTATGCAGCAAATTAACACTGGCTTTTTCCAGAATGTTACCCTGCCTTTTCCCTATATACACACTTTGAATCTATTATTTAAAAAGGCATTCAACTTTGTCCTGTATCTCAATTCTTAAATAATTTAGGGACACCTCTGACTTGTACAATTCTGCCTCTGTCGTTTTCCATGTCTCCTTTGCCTAGGAAAGCATACATTTCTAGGTGCTGGACAGAGTTTAAAATGAAGAAAATATTTTGCCTTATATCGTCCTGCATGTGGGTTCATAAGTGGACCTTATTAGAATCCATCAACCCAAGGCCATAACCAGCTCTAGAGGAGACATGGAGGAGGCTGATAATTTGCTTTGTGTTTAACAGTTAAGGAAATCAGGCCAGAGCTGGTATAGCATGTATAAATCCTGGGCCATTTGCATGTCCTTACTAGCATTTAGTAAGGTCATAGTTTGATTACTGAGGGCTTACAGTAGCCATTGGTGAGCTGTCGTCCATATATCAGGATCACTTGTCCTTAATTATGCAAGACAGAACAACTCCAAATTTAGTTCTTATGAGCCTGCTTTTCTAAATTGAGAAAGCCATCTTTCCTTTGTTGAACAGGTGAGCATTTTAAAGGTGCCTAATATTCAGTTAGAAGAAGAGTCGTGGCTCAATCCTCAGGAAAGAAGCATGGCCATACAGAGCCACTGTCTCACATGGACTCAGTATGCATCCATGAAGGAAGAGTCTGTTTTCCAGGAAAGTGCAGAAAATCCAAATTGGTAAGATGACCTCTGTGTGTGTGTGTGTGTGTGTGTGTGTGTGTGTGTGTATGTGTGTGTGCGTGCACATGCATGTGCTCACAGGATGGATACTGGGATGCAGATATATTGAAAAGGTATGATTTCATACTTATAAGGTCATGTATAACTCATTTAAGTTACACATTAATTTTTACTCATACAAATAATAGATTTTCATCAGAAGCACCTTTTACTTTTCTGTATTTTTTAAAAAAAATTTTTAAATAATCACATGATTCTGGGAACAATAATATGTACCTTGTTAAAAATATTAAGCAGTTCTGGGAAAAAACCATTTTCATCTAGATATAGTGTGTTTATAGAAATTTTTTAGCCCATTCTTAATTGACATGTAGATTGTTTCTGAACTCTTGCTATTACAAAAAAATAGTAATGAAAATTCCTATGGTTACCTATTTCCCCACTGTTCAATAACCTTTTAAGTTATATGGAGCAAAGTGGAATATCTGAGTCAAAGGTGTATGCATTTTATGTTTTGATACATATTACTAGATTCCTCTGTAAAGAAAAATTTGACCACTTGCTTTTTTTTTACACCTTTGGTTTGTCATGTTCCTGTCCACTTCAATACACTTTCTTTCACTGGATACAGCAGGTCACTACTTACTGGCACCTGCTATGTCAAGGTCAAAGCCAGATATTTCACCTGCCTTGCTTTGAAGCACAGATTAAAATAAAGGTGACAAGGTGATGAGCTGCTGAGTCAAGATATAAATCCGAGTATCATGGATCCACCGTGGCAAAGTGGTGAAGTAGGATTATGGACATTTATAAAGGGTGGATTTGTCTCTGCAGTGCTTTGGGTCCCTGGGTTTGGAGAATGGGTTTTGTCCTTTCAGCCGCAAAAAGGTTTCTGAGCAGAGGATGTGTGATGAAAGCCATGATTGAGACTCTAGGAAACTTATGTTTTCTTAGCTCTTGACATGAATTTAGAAAGGCATTTTAAGCAGACATTCTGAAAGAGTGGGTAATTGGGAGGATGTCAAAGAAAGAGGGATACATTATTACCTTCATTCCCCTTTGCCAGGGACTGTGAGACTAATGACTAGCAACTGCATCCAGAGGATGAAATATGGACTATTTTTTTTTTTTATGGACTATTTTTTTAAAGAAAAAAAAAGCTGTGACAACTGCTGAGTCTAAAATTAGACCTTCAAGCTGTGTGTTGGTTGGCAGGTGTGGGTGTGTGATGGGAAACCAGATGTCATTCTGTCCCTGTGCATGGCCTGTCGACTCAATTCAAAGATGGTCTCCAAATGGGTTTCCTGTAGAACCCGATGAAGCCTTGCTCTGTGTGTCTTTACATAGATCCATTTTTGCCTTCCTGCTGACAACTCTGAAGTTGTGGCACCTTCTGGGGCATGAGCTTTCCCCTATCTGTGTTATCACACAGCTGGGTGTTTCTAATATGCGCTCTCACTTTCCTAGCTTCATTGGACATTTTCTTTCTGCAATTTTTTATGGAATGGAATTTGTATCCTTTTTGGAAGGTGGAGTGATATGTTTTCCACTCACCTCACTTTTCTGTAGCCCAGCTTGGCAGTCCATGCCTCAGAGAATACCTCCTGTAGTTAAGCTGTCCTATGTACATCAGTAAGGCTACCTGCCACAGCAAGTGACAGGTGTCCTATCTCAGATGATACCAGCAATCACCTATACATGTAACAGGCAGTGTTCTAAGTGGTTATATCTGTGTGTCTCTCTCTCCATATGTAAGTTCATTTGCTCCGTGTAGCCACCATATGAGGTTGCAACTATTATTCCCATTTTGTGAACAGACGCTTAGTGAAGTTAAGTAACTTGAACAAGGTAAGATGTCAGTAAGCATCTGAGGCAGATCCAAACCTTTTGGCTCCAGAATCTGTGTTGTTGGTAACTATGCTGCCCTTCCTCTCAGTGAGGAACTCTTATCTCTTAACCACGTGGGCCATACTTCCACAGTTGCTGTTCTTTTGACTCCACCTTTATCTGAGCATTTATTTTTTCTTTAAGTTGGGTTTCTTCATGGCTGCCAGTGGCAATTAGGGTCAAAATACATCTTTGTCCACATTTAGTGAGAGAAGGAGACCTGTGAGAGGAAGGGAACCTGCCTATCAATCATGAAGGGAAAAAATGTCCCAAATGTGTTCCAGTGAACTTAGATCACCTAGACCAATAAGAGGGACCACAAGACTAATGGAGGCTGATTGGCCCTAACATGTCAGGATCCGCCCCTAGAACCAGGGGTAGTATCGCTTACCTCTGAAATGCATGGGCTGTGCGGGCCCGGGATGGATGCTTGAGAAAAAGTAATTGGAAAATACTAAGAAAGAGACACTGCTTACCCCTTTCTTTCCTCACAATGTGCCCATTGTCTTCGGTCTTTTTTTGGGAGGTAAGAGATGAATACAGGGATATTTCTACACCAGTTGCCTCCCAGGGGGCAGGAACCAGAACTGGAAAGCCAGCAGGAACTAAGACAACCTCATAGTCTTTTGCTTTTCCATGCTTGGCTCATTTGTCTAATAGACAGATCTGCCTTATTCACTCAGCTGACCTGCTTCCTTCAGGCTAATATAGGCTATCCCACGTCTTGCAGCACAGTAACAGGTAGAATCCCACCTCTGTTACAGCACAGTAACAGGTAGAATCCCACCTCTGTTACAGCGCAGTAACAGGTAGAATCCCACAATAACAGGTAGAATCCCACAGTAACAGATAGAATCCCACCTCTTACAGCACAGTAACTGGGTTAGAATCCCACCTCTGAAACTATAGCTACATGCCATTGCAAGTTTACTGTACTTCTCCAAGCCCCAGTTCCTTCAGTTGTATGGTGAGGATGCTAGCCCTGTCTCAGAAGGGGGCTGTGAGAATTAAATGCCATGGTACATGCAGGGAGCAGAGTGCAGTATCTGCCCCTGGGGTCAGTAAGCACTGATGTTGGTATTATTACCTTTTTTGTTCTTATCAATTAAATCTTCACATGACTTGATTCTAATCCTTAATATGCATCATTTTAATATAGAAACACCGTTTATAATTACACCATTATGCTGTAGGAAGTTGTTGCCTGTTGTGATTTTGTATTCACTCAGCAACCAGTGCCTCAGCTCCTGAGTCAGGGGTGTAGGAACCATTCTGTTTATGTCCAGAGCGAGACTGAGCATTGAAGGGAATAGCATCCAGAGGTCAATGCGAGGATTTGGCAGGGGCTGAAGTCCCCCCTATTTTGGCTTCTCTTCTCGGTCTGTGCTGTGGCTGCGCCTACTGTAGACCTGGCTGTGACGTGTGTTGCTCGGAGGAGGTGCCTGAGTGTTCACAGTCAGAGGTGTGGCTGATACACTATGTAGTCTTAGGACAGTGGGGCCAAATCAGAAAATAGAACAGTAAAAAAATTAAAAGTCAGCTTTGTGGGACTATTCCACTCCTGGGAGTGGAGACTCGTTTGTATTACTTTAGATTTTTTAGAAGAAAGAGAAAAACTATGGTTTCCGCCCTGTGAGACCTTATATTTTGAGATAAACTTCTGATTTTTTGCTATTTTGCATTTGCCACTAGTCTTTATAGCATATTTACTTGTTTATAGCATGTAAATGTATTTACTTTTCTATACTTCATAACATGTTTACTTTTTTCTGATTCTTTTCCTTAGAGTAGATTTTTTATTGTACTGTGTTGGATTATGATTGATCTGCATTTGATTTGGCTTTAATAATGGACCTTTACTTCATCCAAGTGATCCTAAAAGATAATCATCTTGTGAAGGTATTTTCTTGGGCTTTGCTCTTTCTTTTTATTTAGTTATTAATTATTTATTTATACAAGCACTGGGTACAGTCAGAAGCGTGGGAGGGTGAGAGAATTCACCAAGCCAGAGCCAGGAGCAGAGCAGGCAGAAGGATCAAAGTACACTGCTGAGGGGAGCAGCGGGTGGCAGGAGAGGTCTGCGCGCCATGTGGAACCCTCCTCCCGTGGCTGGGGAGCAGCCAGGGATCGAACTGGTGCTGCAGAGGCTGTGGGCAGCTTCGCAACCCAGCGCTCAACCACTGCGCCACCAGGGAGGCCCGGCTTTGCTCTTTCACCACAATTTTCTGTGTTTTTGTTTTTTGTGTGTTTTGTGATAAGTCAAAACTTTTCTGTTATCTTGAAGCAAAGTTTAAATCATCACCATGTGGAGATGTTACTCTGTGATGTTGCAGAGCTGGGCTTCTGGTGCTTTTGAGGACGATCTTTCTCTCAGACTCACCATTGAGTATCTCCACTGATGCCTACAAACTTTATTTCTGAGATTTAAAAATGTTCAGCCTAGTAATGTTAGGAACATTGAATATGTTGATTCAACATTCATAAAATATCAAGGAAATTCCTCTTGGAATATAGTAAAATAAACAACTCCCCACCCCCATCAACATGCATATGAAATTAATGGCATAAGCAGCTGTTTTTAGTTCAATACATTTTCATTATTATTGAAGCTACTCATAGCCTTATTCTAATACATACATTATATACTATCTTGAATTTTTTATTTTTCGATTTATGTGTTAAAGCATCCTAATTCTTGAACTTTCCTTTGGTGAATCACAAACATGATTTGCTTGTTTTGAGGGAATAATCGTTGGGCATTTTTTTCTTGTGTATCCATATTTTCTCTGCTCTAAAATATTTTTTTTTTTTCCTTCAGGAGCAAATATGACAGTTTGGTGTCATCCATGTATTTGGTACTGCCCTTTTTTCAGTTGACCTCTAAAACCACTTTTGCTTAAATTAAAACATGCTGGCTTTGTTAACTTTACTTAGGAATTATTTCTGAGTGCCAATCCTGATGGTAAAGGGCTTGAGGGTGTCGTTACTTAATAGCCTGAATAAATACTACTATATTTGTTCCAAAACATGACTCTCTGTGCTCATATTGACCTTGATTTCCAGTGCACCAGTGGGTGATCAAACAATTAGCAGAAAGCACTGCCAATTAC